GTTTTGAGTAGAAATACCAACTCTTAAACAGGCACTTTTCTAAAGTCGATGTGAAACACGTTAAGCTAACTGCTGCTAGCAACCGCTGCTGCAGCTCCCATATCCACTGAAAATGTTGTCGGCAGGACTGACACACCTTCAGTTACTGATTGGTTCCAGCAAAACAAAAGAAAAGTAGAGAAGGCGATTTCTGGAGAAATTGCAGTGTGAATGCTTGATGTTGAAGACTGGATTACTGGCTTAAAGGGTTAAATAATACCCATGATGCATGAAACATGTTTGTTGAAATATTCCACATATTTCAACAAACATTTATGTTCGTAGTGTCAAAACTGTGAGGATGGGAGCAGGTTAGAACCTGGGACAAAGAAATTTGTGTTTTCAGTTTTCATGGGAGTCAATGCAGCTGTTCCTTAATGTGTAAGTCTGTTTGTTTCCTTTGCTACATTGTATGAAAGAACACACATTATCCTGCATTTTGAAGCTAACATTATGTATGAAGAGTGAAAAAAGATTTTGGAACGTATAAAAGGTATGAATACTAATACTTGTAGCATACATGTTGAAATAAGCTGAACATTTTGATATTTAAATGAAGTTTCCACAAATGTGGAACTAATTGAGTTTCCGAAAAGAAATCAGCTAACATGAGCCCAGTGTCAAGCTGAATGAATAAAATGAGAAATGGCATTCAGTCTGATTATCCGATGAATATTGAGTCTAATGCCTGATACCTCTAAATACTATAACGTCCTAAGAGACTCAGCCACAGTTACAACAAAACACTCACTGACCAATGAAAGCTGCAGTCCCCTACACAGATGGTGGCTTTAATAGTGGTATAGTCTATCATACAAACTGAAAACTAGTGAGAACCATTGTAATTTAGTAATCCACTTCCATAAAGTTGGAAGAATTATAAAAAAGACTAGTTCAAATTGATGCAGCAGAGCTGAAAGTATCCCAACTCTTTCTCCCTAGTATGGGTCCAAAAACACTGAACCCTACATTTCCCATAATGCAACTTCATAGTGTATTTCAAACTTCATGCCCACAGTTGAATCCTGAGGACATCACCAGACATTTTACCAAGCTCCTCCAGAACCACAGACAGCATTATACAGTGGTACCAACCAACACAACACTACACAGCTGTGCAAGACTTCCTTTTCTTGCTCTTTGTGTTTCTCCTCTGTAGCAATGAGCACCGCTAGCAGGTAAGCATTCCTATGGAACCCCTCCACACACAGATGCATGTATAGATATATGTAGATATAAATATATATCCTGACTGACAGAGCTGGAAAGACATTTGTGTTTGTCAGCTACATTTACAATATAGTTTGCATCAAGAGATTTTTGAAGGTCAATCTTAACATTGCCATTTTTGGATTAAAACCACTATTGCCAATATTTTGTCACATTTTCCACTCACTATTATCATAGTACAAACCTTTCCAAAAATAGAAAAGGTCTCTCACAGAAATGCATTCTTGTCAAGATGGATGAGCTTGTGAAAACAGCAACTGGACCATTAGAGTCAATTTAGGTGAAAGGATTCCAATACAAACAGTGGAACAGTGTTCTAATGTGCAATCAACCTGCATCATAGCCAGTATACCAGAGGACACTGTCTCGATACAACACGTCTGAATTTAAGACCAGCACCAGCCTGATACTATGCTTAAATCATACCCCGCCACAACAATGCAAGCTTTACACACAGATCTGCACACCAAGAGGGTGTCTCACTGGTTAGCAGGTGCAGCCTCTGAGTGGACTGCCAAACACACAGCCTTTTTCAGGGCTACGATACAGTGAGGGAAGCCAGCCAGGAACAGGCACTAGCCATGCTAGCACGGCTAGCAGGATGCATGCACACAATACCTGCAGCGCAGGACACGATGTGAATCAATCAAACATTCTGATCATATAGATCTCTCCCACACGCACAAACATGAGTCCAGGCCAGGACACACTCGTCCAAATCCATTGTCTCTGGGTTTGGCGTGGAAACACAGACAGATTGTTGAAAAGATGGATGGATGGATGGAAGGATGCAGAAGTAGATAGCTCACCGGTTTGCCTTCTTCCTTTCTCTCCACCTCTTTCAGCACATTATCCAGGCTAAGTGTGTGTGTGTGTGTGTGTGTGTGTGTGGGGCAAGCCGGCAAGGAGGCACACTGCTACATCCCCTCCTCTTCCTCTCTCTGACGATCCCTCCCTCCTCTCCCTGGCCTTTATTTAATTATTTCCCCTCTCTCTCTCTCTCTCTCTCTGTATTGCTCCTCACAGCTGATAGAGTCGCCTTGCTTTTCTCAAGGCTGTTTGATTGTCTCTCTGTCCGTTTCTTCCATCTTCTTGTTATCCTCGATGAAGTCGTCTCACTGTTTTTTTGGCGTGGGAGGCTGAGACAAAAATAGAAGAGCGAAGGAAAAGAAAATGCAGTGGCTGCCTTGTTTATTAAGAGCTGATATCTGCATTCTCTCTCTCTCTCTCTCTCTCTCTCTCTCTCTCTCTCTCTCTCTCT